TGGGAAATATTAATTAAAAATAAAACTATATTGATTCAACTGTACCTGCAAAACTTTACCAATCAGTTGAGGAGACATCACAAAACAGTTATCCAACGTGATATCATATTTCGGGATCCAGTATTGTATGCAACAATATTGAAATAATAAAGCATACATTGATACATCAATCAAAATAAATGTCTAGTTTTTAGATTTTATCAATTGCAAAAAAAAATATTTACAATAAGGTACATTATACTATAATGTGGTTATTGAAAATAAATCTTAACTGAGTTAAGACAATCAGAACATATTAATATACAACGATTTGCAAATAAAATAGATTACTATAAATGTATGTTCGTTGAATAGATGTCTCTTTTCGTTGTTTTTTTTTTTCTCTCAAAATGTTTAAAATTTGTTATGAAATAAAAATCAAGACACACGTACGTTTCTATTATACAACTTGTACAGCCGTCCTTGTCTAGTGAAATAATTTCTGAGAGAGCAGAGAACACAATTCTACTAAATTTGCATAATATAGATTGATCATCCCGGTTAACGTTCAAGACACTGTACCAACATGTTCTGCGTCCAGAGTAGAAAAAATTATCATCTTACATCTTACACTAGATTAAAAAAAACGGATTGCTCTCTGGTATATCCTTAAATGCTTAATAACTACTGATCCACCGAATTCCACTGTGTCTCAAAATAGATGTATACTAAAGTTTTCAAAAAAGTTAATAAAAGAACAAAATAAATGAAAGATGAAAAACATTAATAAATAATAAATTAACATATATCATATTTTTTTTTCTTCAACTGATCGGGCAGACCTTTAAATTTGCAGGAGGACAGTCTATTTTCAGACGTGTGTGATTAGGATTATTTCCCTGAATTGACTGATTTCTATTTACATATCAGTGTCATCAAACTGCAATTGAAAAGAACTGAGTGTATTATATGAAACAATATTTTGACTAGTTTTTAAACAACAACAGTATTACAAAAACAAAAACGAATGTGTCACACTATTTATATTTCGAATACACATATAGTGTTTACATGAATGGGATCAATGACCATAACTGGACATATGCTTTACTTTTATAATGGTTTACTTTTATTAGTTGTGACTTGGATGGAGAGTTGTCTCATTGGCACTCATACCACATCTTCTTATATTCTATGTGCACTTCTTTGAGAAGTTTATCCAAATACGCAGGTCTGTAGATTAAAGCATTGCGTTCGAGCATGTTGCACTATATGGACTTCATTGCCTAGGGTGCGATCCTTACACAAAACTGCTCCTACAGGGGCAAGAAGGAAAAACGACTGAAATCAATAATACATTTACATATGTTTTACGGTCATCATCAGCAATCGCTTTACCGATACGATTTGTTGGTGTTTCCACTAACTAACGACATCGTCTGTACAAGTATAGTCTTTGATATGTAATTTAACCGATTGTGTCTCTAACCCCGACTGTGACATTATTCTCATGGTGGTTGATGCATGCATAGCAGGTGCCGCTTGCCCTGTTGACGCACTTGGTCTTTTTCATGGCGGATTTGATGCGATTGTGTCAACTTTTTAGTGTTACCTTGCTTTTGTCTTTCGTCGATTTTTTGAGATTTGAACAACGGTTATCAAGTCAGGAATATGGAAGTTGTTATCAAACAGTCCGTTTCTATGTATGTTGGCGTTTGGTTTTGTTGCACTTCAGGGTTTCTAGTGTTCCGTTGTATTCCTCTGATAGTTGAAGTGTTTCCCTCGGTTTTAGTTTGTAACCCGGATTTGTTTTCTGTCAATCGATTTATGACTTTTGAACAGCGGTATATACTAATGTTAAATTTGTTTATCTACTGCCTTTTTAATCTATGATAAGCGAAATTTTCCGACCAGGAATTTTTGAGAACTTGAAATAAAAAATACAAACAAGGCCTTGAAAAACAAATAACATATATAGGGAAATGAAGTGTTCCAGGAGTAAGTATCTACTGCTTTACTATTAACAAGTGTCTGGTTGCTCAAGACAAATAAAACATAATGTTGTGTAGATTGTGATTGATTATCGTATACAATATAAGTGTATACAACGAGATAAGATATGCTCGAGAAGTGTCCATATCGTAACGATTGGAAAATTTTTGTTTCGTGCGGAAACAAACATGTTACTTTCAAAAATGTTTTAGTCGTGTATGAAGAACATGTAAGTGTGTTAAAATCGTCCGTTGGTATTGCATATAGGATTTTCTATAACTCCATGTTTTGTTTTGTATCTGTGGCTCTTAAGAATATACTCTACTTCTTTAATAAAGTTTCTTTTCAAATTCGATCCAGTAATTAATTTCATTTATGATTCATGATTTTTAGTTTGAATTGTTTTACATTTGTCATTTCGGTGCCTTTTATAGCAGACTATGCGGTATGAGTTTTGCTCATTATTCTGTTACCTCGTTCCTCAATTTATATAGTTCGTTTGTTTATATTCTTAATCTGTTTCTGTGTTCCTGGCCTAGAAGAATCGTTCATCTTTAGACCTTATAAGAACTGTAAACATCGTATCATCGTTACCTTTTCCCTTTCTCACGTGTATCCGCTACCGGAAAACTGCAATTTCATTACAATACCGAGGAATATTCCGTAGAGACGTCATCTTTGACAAATTTGTGGCTAACCACAGAGTGAGTTAATTTTAGAACATTGTATCTGAAGCCTTCAAATTGCTCTTCACATATTTGAACCTTTTATAAATAAACCTTAACTGAGTTGAGACAATTAGAACATATTGATGTACAACGATTTGCAAATAAATAAATTACTACCAATGTATGTTCATTGAATATATGTCTCTTTTCGTTTTTTTTTCTCAAAATGTTTAAAATTTGTTATAAAATAAAAATCAAGACACACGTTTCTATTATACAACTTGTACAGTCGTGCTTGTCTAGTGAAATAATTTCTGAGAGAGCAGAGAACATACTTCTACTAAATTTGCATTAATATAGATCGATCATCCCGGTTAACGTTCAAGACAGCTTATCAATATGTTCTGCATCCAGAGTAGAAACAATTATTATCTTACATCTTACACTAGATTAAAACATCCGGATTGCTCTCTGGTATATCCTTAAATGCTTAATAACTACTGATCCACCGAATTCCCCTGTGTCTCAAAATAGATGTATACTAAAGTTTTCGAAAAGGTTAATTAAAGAACAAAATAAATGAAAGATGAAAAACATTATTAAATAATCAATTAAGATATATCATATTTTTTTTCTTCAACTGATCGGGCAGACCTTTTAATTTGCGCGAGGACAGTCTATTTTCAGACGTGTGTGATTAGGATTATTTCACTGAATTGACTGATTTCTATTTACATATCAGTGTCATCAAACTGCAATTGAAAAGAACTAAGTGTATTATTTGAAACAATATTTTGACTAGTTTTTAAACAACAACTGTATAAAAAAACAAAAAACGAATGTGTCACACTATTTATATTTCGAATACACATATAGTATTTACATATATGAATGGGATCAATGACCATAACTGGACATGTGCTTTACTTTTATAAGGTTTACTTTTATTAATTGTGACTTGGATGGAGAGTTGTCTCATTGGCACTCATACCACATCTTCTTATATCTATGTGCACTTCTTTGAGAAGTTTATCCAAATACGCAGGTCTGTAGATTAAAGCATTGCGTTCGAGCATGTTGCACTATATGGACTTCATTGCCTAGGGTGCGATCCTTACACAAAACTGCTCCTACAGGGGCAAGTAGGAAAAACGACTGAAATCAACAATACATTTACATATGTTTTACGGTCATCATCAGCAATCGCTTTACCGATACGATTTGTTGGTGTCTCCACTAACTAACGACATCGTCTGTACAAGTATAGTCTTTGATATATAATTTAACCGATTGTGTCTCTAACCCCGACTGTGACATTATTCTCATGGTGGTTGATGCATACATAGCAGGTGCCGCTTGCCCTGTTGACGCACCTGGTCTTTTAAATGTCGGAGTTTATGAAATTGTGTCATTTTTTGAGTGTTACCTTGCTTTTGTCTTTCGTCGATTTTTTGAGATTTGAACAACGGTTATCAAGTCAGGAATATGGCAGTTGTTACCAAACAGTCCGTTTCTATGTATGTTGGCGTTTTGGTTTTGTTGCACTTCAGGGTCTCTGTTGTTCCGTTGTATCCCTCTGATAGTTGAAGTGTTTTCCTCGGTTTTAGTTTGTAACCCGGATTTGTTTTCTCTCAATCGATTAATGACTTTTGAACAGCGGTATATACTAATGTTTACTTTGTTTATCTACTGCCCTTTTAATCTATGGTAAGCGAAATTATCCGCCCAGGAATTTTTGAGAACTTGAAATAAAAAATACAAACAAGGCCTTGAAAAACAAATAACATATATAGGGAAATGAAGTGTACCAAGAGTAAGTATCTACTACTTTACTATTAACAAGTGTCTGGTTGCTCAAGACAAATAAAACATAATGTTTTTTAGATTCTGGTTGATTATCTTATACAATATAAGTTTATACAACGAGAAAAGATATGCTCGAGAAGTGTCCATATCGTTACGATTGGAAAATATTTGTTTCGTTCGGAAACAAACTTGTTATTTTCAAAAATGTTTTAGTCGTGTATGAAGAACATGTAAGTGTGTTAAAATCGTCCGTTGGTATTGCATTCAGGATTTTCTATAAACACATGTCTCTTTTTTGTATCTGTGGCTCTTAAGAATATACTCTACTTCTTTAATAAAGTTTCTTTTCAAATTCGATCCAGTAATTAATTTCATTTATGATTCATGATTTTTAGTTTGAATTGTTTTACATTTGTCATTTCTGGGCCTTTTATAGCAGACTATGCGGTATGAGTTTTGCTCATTATTGAAGCCCGTACAGTGACCTATAGCTGTTAGCCTCTATGCCATTTGGTGTCTAGAAGAGAGTTGTCTCATTGGCAATCATACCACATCTTATTTTTATATCATTTATGAACTTTATTTAACATATTTGTATTGTTTATTTTATTCATTAAATATTTTTTCCCTATCTATTGTTGTCAAATTTCCTGTGTTGTAAATCCAATTCCTGGTACAAAAGTGATCCGCACATGTACTCTTTTCCTGAAAAAGATTTAAAAAAATAATTTAAAGATAAAATATAAATTCATAGTTTTGAAAACGCAGTTTATGTGTTTGCCATCATATGTTAGGCGGTAGTACCGGTATTCTATCTAAAGAGACTGAAAATATTAACCTGTGTATACTTCTGTCGTATGCGTTACTTAATAAGTGAATGCTAAGTTGTAAGACGATATCTTACGGCAAACAGTGAAATTGCAATTAACAAAAAGATCATCTACTTTTTATGTATCAACAATAAAATTAATGTGTTTACACAAAATTCTGAATAAACTTAGTATTCAAAAACAATTTATCATTTATACATGTAAAAACACAATGTACTAGTAGATGACATCAACACGTTTCTCTTTTTTATTATATTTTTCAGTATAAAACGCATATGAAAAAACTTTTATAATTTGTACAAAGGACAATCATTCTATTCTAGTACCATACATATTGATTGACTGCGGTATAGAAATATGATCACCTGTATTTCCCCAGTTCCGATAACAAACTATTACTAAAGAAAATCATTGTACTGTTTAGGATGTATAAATACGCAGCAACATGAGGTCGGGATGATAATGTTTAATTTGATGCCTCGTGTAGAGAGAATGCTACATACTCTGCAAGTTACAGAACGTTTCCAAAAAAATATCTAAGGGGTGTGTAAGTGACCAGTTACAAGGCACAATGTCTGTCTCTATATATAAATGCCCACATTTTTATTGTGGCAGTCCAAATTTCCCGCTATTAATCCAAGTCAACATCTACCTTGCAAACTCTATCTGTTGTGAATATAATCAATTTGATCTCGTCCTGAAAATGCATGAAATGCTTGCCACTGGAGTTAAGCAAACAACACTTTATTAATTGATATTCTATTTTATGAACATTTTACTTCACTAAAACTGTTACCACTAATATTTGTTTCGGTGATTTTGCATCCTTTTTCACGGAATGTTATTTATAATAGACTATTTACATATTACCGACTTTTGACTCCGGATTATATCAATTGTCGACTGGTTACCTTGGACATCATGGTACCAAGTCAGGTAAGAGCAAGCTAAAAAAGTAAAACCAAGCTTTCAATTTTGGGGGAAAATAACCTGGTTAATATTTTTTTTTCACTGCAAAATCATCGGAAAACAGTAAACTTTCCCCTCAAATTACACCGATTATATCTTTGATTTTACTTATTTTGACTGCTCTTACTTGACCGAGTACCATGATGTCCAAGGTAACCAGTCGACAAATTATATAATCCGGAGTCAAAAGTCGGTAATATGAAAATAGTCTATTGCACATATTATAATTAGTACTAGAAACCAGGCATTCTTTAAAATCCTAAAACCAATCTTAAAAAAATGTTAGATCCATAAACGGAAAAAATTCTCACAAGAATTTTTTTAACCACATGGTTGCTTATTATTACTTCATTGAAAGTTTAAATTGTGGCTATATCAATTGAATCCAGACACAATTTCTTTGTGGAGTTATTTTCTTGTATAGTCACAGATACATTGTTACTTTTTTTCACAGGTACCAAATAACATCTAAGTAATATATCATATACCTATTGACCAGTACTTTATGTACAACTATGGTCACTACGATAGTAACAGCAATAACTACGACAGAAGCCAATACTGTTCCAACAATTATACTGGTTTTCGCTAAAATTGTAAATTTATTTTGTAATGCAATACATGAAATGAAAGAAACGGCAATATTATAACATTTTAAAGAAACTAAACTACAGATAAAAGCAAAGAATACTTCCCCCTCCCCTTACAAAAACAGTAAATAACATTTAATTTTCTGAATATTTTTTCAACAATTTGGGATGATACATTGCCAACATATTAACCTTATTAAACACATGTTGTCTGTAGTTCTATTAAAGAATGTTAAGTTTTACATGTTGTAAGTCCATATATGATATTTGTAGTATTTTAAACTAATTATATTATTAATAAAAAAATTGTTAATATAATGCAACAACTATTTGTTACTGAATGTTAGGCAAAACAAATACAAAATATGATCATAAGGTACAGTTTGTAAAGTGATTGTATAGAAGTTTTTTAGTACGTAACAATAACGTCATAGTCATTCTATTATGCAGAACCTTGTGCTCATACTATATTATATGGAAGTAAAAAATGTAAATATTTACATCCTGTGTCTGCAGACAAAATACCGGACGTAACTGTTGTTGAGGTAACTGTTGGCCATGGTGTTGTTGTCACCGGGTCTGTTTTACAATCTGCCAGTAAGGTTGCCGTCAAAGAACTATCTTTCAAAAACAAACACACATAAATATGTCATACTAATCAATTCCAAATAGTCGAACTTAAATTCAGGTTTGCATTCCATTGCGTTTGAAAACCTACATTTTTCGAAGATAATTTCTTGCTTCAGTACAAATACATTATTTGTAGCTATAATTTCATCCCGTTAAACCTTTGAGGCTGATGTCGATCTAATTATTTTTTAAGAAACTTGTTTCCGTAAAATTGGACAAAACAAATTAGCATCAACAATTTTTATGAATCTGCCGATACGCTGTACAACCTTCTGACTTCTGTGGCTTTTTACTGGACAGTTTAGAATATTTCAATCTCATTAAAATCCGATGTTGTGATACGCTACACTCCCTCTTAGGGTGGAGAGTATCGTAGCGAAAATTAACAGCTGATTTTAATGAGATTGAGAATATTTGAATTATTACCGAGCAGTACACCCACTTGGATTCACTTATTAAATAAGTAAGGCATTTTGGTGACCGTATGAAACCTAAAGTTGCTAAAAACTTCGTCATTTTAGTCTCTGGTGGATAGTTCATTGGCAATCATAACACATATTCTTATCTTGGAGAACGGATTCTACCTAGGTAACTGAGTTTTAACTAAGTAACTAGACTGTTAATACTATTAGTTTAACTCCATGTTTTAATCGCTCGTCTAATGTCGATTGCCTCGAGGGTTTTTATATTTGGAGAATTTGAGAGGATGAATTCTTGTTCAACATCCAGTGGCAAATATAACATGAATAACAAGACAAAAGCGTGTTAATGCAATATCAATATAAACCAAGCTTTATACAACATACACAGTAGAGTAACAGTCGGTAGAGGAAGAACTGTCATCTAACCTTAGTCCTAGACACAGAAAACTAAATCAGGCCGACCTGACTTTGCTTTTTGTTACTTCTAGATGCCTCATGTTGGGCGAAGAAGCAGTAAATAACAAATGTTCAAGTATTTGGTGTTAGTCAGCCTGCGTTCGAGACAACGAAGGTGAATTATAAGGTGTTTGACGTAGGTCTGCAATAATCTCTATTGACCATGGATTTATACACAACTTTTTTTAGACTCTGTGAGATTTAGCGGTTGACTAAGTATCTGCTTAATTTTCGTCAAAATGTTTTTTTCTTTTTTTTTCTTGTGTCGTTAGGATACTGTTTTATTACCCCTACATCTCGTTCTAACAATGAAAAGGTGCAGTATTTCCTAGGGAGAATAGTTAAAAGTATTGTATCCATTAATCTAAATAATTACCTAGTTTTGGAACTAAAGCTGGTATAAGACCACACAAATATATGAAGTCAGAAACATACATCACATAATATGATGCCGGATCATTTGCTATATCCTGAAGTTCATTTAGATGTGATGTTCCAATACCGACTGCAAAAACTTCAACACCATCTGATCTTAAGCTATCTGCCGCTGTCCCTGGGTCGATGGCACCATTGGACGCCCCATCTGTTAACACAACAACTACTTTATCTACTCCGGTTCTTGCTCCATTTGAAGTTTGTAAAATATATGTTTGAACATACTGTAATGCTTCCCCTGTGTGGGTATTACCATCAGTTGTTGTACCTATTAATCCGTTTATTGCTGTCAACACACTTGTATTTGTGGAGTATGTATCTAGTGCAAACTCCAAACTGTAAGTAGTACTATATGTTACTATAGAAACCATAATTGCATTGTTACCAATTGTCAAATATTCTGTTACCATGTAGATGAAATTTATAGCCTCGTTAAAATTGCTTTCGGCCACACTTCCAGACTTGTCTATTACATACACCACATCTATGGATCAATAAATATAAGTATTAAAGTATCAAACTCGAGTTTGTCAAAGAAGAAAATATTTATATAAACCTAAGGAGATGTGATATGATTGCTTATGAGACAACTATGAACTATAAGACCAAACAGACGAGGATACGTGGTTTCTTATCCGCAATATATCACGGGTAGTAACCTCGTCATATCGAAAAGCGTTTAGTACAGTGATTTTGTCATAGTTTGGTTAAGATGAACATGGTTGTGTTAAGTGTTTTTGTTGACAAACAGTTTCAAAATATAAACATTCGAATAGTTTGTTAAAGGAACTAATGACAACAAATTCAAGCTGGTAAGTATCTTTGTTTATAGCTAATATGTTATCACATCAAAATTTGTATCATATAGTTATCAATTTGACACAGAATATGCTTGCGTATGTCAAAATTTAAAAGTTGTGATTCGTTTCTAATGCACAAAGAAAAGTGGTTTGCTTACTGTCTGCTACATCACATATTTTGTTATGATATAAAACTGCCGTCAATTTTCCCGAAAAACAGCCCCTAGTGCACACAATTTGAGATTACAGAATATTCGGTGTCATGGTTTGGTTCATTCGTGTCATGGTTTATTTCATGTTGAACATGGTTCAGTTATGTGATTCTATTCGTGAATGAAGGAAGAGTAACGATCAAAATAAACAGACATTATATATATTGAAATACTCTTTTTTAAATCGTTTAATTTGGAATACAAAAGACATATATACGCACATTAAATGTAGTATTAAATATATTATTAAGTACATGCGGTCTGATTGCCAATGAGATAACTATCCACCCAAGACCAAAATGACGTAGATGTAAGCAACTATATGTCGTCGTACGGCCTTCAGCAATGAACAAAATCCATACCTTTTAGCCAGCTATAAAAGGCTCCGACAAAATTATATGTATAAACAATTTAAATGAGAAAACCAATGTATTATACAATATTACAAAAACATAATCATTTTTATTCGTTCGTAATAATAATTGATAAAAGTGGACATTAAATCGGCTTCATTCTAATTCGGAATTGTGATTTTTCATATATTTGAATTCTGAACTTGTGTGTATTTTTTTTTTTTTTTTTTATGTTTACTAATAGTTTGTAAAACAAATAAGTTTTAACTGTTGTCCACGTCACGCGTTAACTTTTTGTTTCGTAGATGGTTGAAGACTTATGGTGTTCTCTTGGTATCGTTTGGTTAGTTTTGTAGTTGGGATACTATAGCATGGGCGTATAACCCCACATCTCCTTTTATTCATCATAGACTGGTTCAAAATAAAACAACAGATATATAGTTTAGTAGAAAAAAAAGATGAACAAAAATTACTTTTTGACAAGTTGATACGTTTTGCAACTTTACTAATTGAACAAGTGATGCCGCTCACGATATCATCGACAGAGTCAATCCTGGACAAATAATCTATGTGAAACAGAAGCAGCGCTTTCTGTTTTTTGTAATTATTATCTCAAAAGATAGTTTAAAAGAGCAGAGACTATTTAAATTATAAAAGCAAAATAACAAAAATACGGGACTTCGAGGTAAATTCTAAACGGAAAGTCCCTAATCAAATGGCAAAATCAAAAACTGAAACACATCAAACGAACGGATAACAATTGTCATATACCTGACTTGGTACAGACATTTTTTTCTGTAGAAAATGGTGGATTAAACCTGGTTTTATAGCCAGCTTCACCTCTCATATGTATGACAGTCGCATAAAATTCCATTATATTGACGACGATGTGTGAACAAAACAAACAGACATAATAGTTAAAAATGTAAAAAAATAAAGGTACAGCAGGCAACATTGTGTTATAATCTTAGTCACTATAAAAACAAAACAAATATTTCAACAAAGAAAAACAAAAAGTACCGAGCCACGTCAAATGGATTGGGCCAAAAATAGACTAAACAGTTAAAGTAATAATTTACAAAGACAAAAAAAATAGAGTACCATAACACGTCATTAAGATGACAAACAACGTCAGTACTTAGAATCTATACTTAATTTACCCACAAGGTCTTCCGATGAACTTTTTTGGAAAAAGGACGAGACGTTCTTTGACATACCACTGGCTCATCAACTTTCTGCTCAGACACTGGTGACGGTTTACAAAGTCTGAGTAGCATCTGCAAGCTCTTGAATATCGAATGAGTTGGGAAATGTATATCCCATATGCAGGAGAAGTTGGTATATTGCTACTAAGGTTGGAGAAACTGATAATTTCAAAATTAAAATCGTCTTGTTTGTCATAAATTCTGGTACTAAGATGACCGCTCATGCCAAATTCAAGGTATAAGTCTAAAAATGAGGCAGAGGAAGCCGTGTCTGTTGTTCCTTTAATTTCTAGTTCTGAGGGATATATTAATGGAATTCAATCAGAAAAGTCTGGATTGTTAATGGAAAGAACATCATCAATATATATGAATGTGAAATTAAATGATATGGCTTCTTTGATCTTCTTGTTTTTTACAAATGTCTGAAGGAACTCCGACTAATATGAAGATAAGAAGACGTCGCTGCCGAACAGTTCGCTCTCATAGAAATACCGATAATTTGGTGACAAAGTCTACCTCCAAATTCAACAAATATTTTGTCAATAAGAAACTCCAGCATACTGGTCACTTGTTCCTCTGTGTAGCATGTTTTATTTTTTGTTCACTATTAACAAAATATGCCGTATGGTATCCAAAAGTAATAAACGTATAGCGTGCGCTACCATTTTTATGTTGAAAAGCATTGTAGATTTAAATTATTTCTTTTAGACGATTTTTCAATTACACATAGGGAATGGTGGTACACAGGGTTAAAAAATTAAACGTTTTGATAGAACTAATTTCAGAGAAAGATCGAGATTTACATTTATTCAGAAGTTCTTTAAGAGGTTTTTTTTTAAATCCATATATGGTTAATACCACTACGCGAGTAAACAGTTACACGGTATTTCTGAAAACCCTCTTTCATTGCAGAAAGAATCTTTGTCAATCTAATGGACAATTCTTTCGTCGAACATGCAGATGAGCTGGCAATGTACGGCTGTTTGTATGGAATTTTGTGAAGCTTAGGTATCCAATACAAACAAGGTAAGTCCTCCGATTTGCTGCTCAAAGTAATGTTCATTGAAGCTATTAAGGACTTATGAATCACCAAAATCTCATCCTTGTCAAATGATGTTTTTGTATGTGGGATTACATGAGTGCTTATTTATTCCTAATTCTTTTACAAGACACTCGTAGTAGTACGATTTGCATACTAAGACAAGTCACGTTGTTTAATGTGCGTTTTGCCAATTACAGCATCTAATTTTGGTTTAAAAGGCTTTTTTTCTTTTTAGTCAGTTGGTAAATTGTGTAACCTCGTTTAATTACAAGCGTTTTTAAACAAACTATCAATATTGAGCTGAAACAAATATATATTAATTTGGATCTAAACCATGACAAACTTGATCAAAACCATGACGAATTTCTAGACACTTAACCGAACCATGTCATAACTTAACCAAACCATAGCAATTTCGATAGGTTGCTTATTCTGCGTTAGTTTCTTGAAAACAACAATTCCAATGTAGATCGTTTGACTAACAATGCAAATTCAAACATCTTATTTGCTTTTTATTTGCTCGTTTGAATAGAACTGAGGCAATTGTTCGGGGAAGTAACTTAACACAACCATGTTCATCTTAACCAAACTATGACAAAATCACTGTACTAAACGCTTCTCGATATGACGAGGTTACTACCCGTGTATATGCAATAGTATAATAGTCCATGAAATCGTCTGGAAAACAGGCGAACGAATTCCCAGTGTAACCAGTTTTAAGGAAGTACAGTTTAACTTGTATATATAAAGGTCAACCGGGAACCAGAGGAAACTGACCTTATAAGAGAAGTGACCTTTGAATTGAGATTCAAACTGCATTGATACTACTTCATCAGTGGGGCATGATGGTATCCCGAACATACAGGGTTTCGCTTAATAGACGTGACCTTTATCAGCATAGCAGGTTTTACTGTACATCATTTATAAAGTTAAAAAAGTGCCTTTTGCGAACGTAACCTTGGACAGTGGTATTAAGACAAAGCATGAGAACAAATTGTACGAACTAGTTGGACAGGGCTTGGCCAATCAGATCAACACATTGCACACACAAAAAAATCAACGTATGAAGTTATGAACAAACTGCAAATGAGTACGGTCAAAGACAATATTTTGTGTAAATGTTTTAATTTTAGGTCCGCCTAAGATAGTAGGGAAGTAATAAGTTTTGCGGCCTTCGCAACGGTCCTTAATTTTAATATATTTGCAAGGTAAACAGATCAAGGGCAACTTTAATAAACCAATTCACCCAATGAGCAATTTCATTTCTCCAAGAGGGATAAAGATTTTTTTTTAAAACAATAAGGACAAATTTGGAAATGCAAACTACAGATGGAAATTTACATTATGCTTTAAATACGGGAATATTTAATACTTATTAACTGGTTATCTACATTAAAGGGGAATAGAAAAAACCCAAAACGACTCACCTTTAAGTAGGCTATTCCCTAAGTTCATCCGATGCAAAACTAGATTTATGAATAATAACTGCTTTAACATGTCTTTACATAACTATGTGTGCTGAGATGTAATACATTTTTTTCATTTGTTCTCCCATATTATTGTATAGGTACATATGCAGTCATATAGAGTTATAATTGGCCTATTTTACAAATAGACGAAATTTTACAAAGTTCATTGATTCCTTTCTTTAAAATTACATATATCGTTTTTCAATCAATATACTTTTTCAAACAAATAGTATAAATAATACTATTCTCTTGTTTTATAAAAGAAAGAGATCTCATTTCCTATCGTTTAGTGTTACTTGCGACTATAATTTTTTGATTCATGATGGTTTTCTGCAAAACGTCCAGTGACAAATATTTCATGTATATTCAAGACGAATAGAAGAATAGGTTTTGCAAAATAATTTGAGTGAGATGGAGAAAAAAAAACATAGAAAGGAGATACCAAGGGTGAAATCAAAAACCGAAAATAAATTGAAAAAAAACATGGACGAAAAGAAAGGAAAACGTTTACAATACAACAAGTCTACAATAATTAAAAGAAGTAGCAAAAAATATCTACATGCCCAAAAATTTATACTCATGTGTATTTAAAATTTGAATATTTTAGTATGTTTCAAATGAGGAAACCATTTTAAAACAGTTTTCCTTTATAACTATAGGTTTAGTTGTATTAACATTGAAATTTCGTTGCCAAATATCATAGCAAAACACTGAAATTGTTAAAACTATTCTGTAATCCCTCTGTAGTTTCAGATACTAAGAGTAAATCTTCTGCAAAAATATGATAGTTTAAGGACAGGTGACTTTTGTAATATATATGTATGCTATAGTTTTAGTTTACACAATGACAATAAAGAATTGTTTTAATTGAAATCTTCAGAAACGTATATAATAACTGCTTACAATTTAAAAAAAATAAAATAAACAATACAAGTACTCCAATACGTACATTCAACGTCGGACTATTTAAGCTTGTCTTTTGATAAACGGGTCATTAATTCTATATTTAAATTTGTACAGTAATAGTTAAAGTAATTTGAACGACAATATTCAGTAACAGGTATATAGGTCTAAGTTTCTCTTTTTCCAAAGTAATCATTGACAAACATAATTGAAGTAGATCCAACCAATAAGTTTGTAATCTGATCGCAATAGCTTCCTAATACCTGAAATTTGAGACTGAAATTCATAATGCCATTGTTTTACTACACAACTACCGAAATCAATTGTACATTCTACAGTAATAAAAATTATTCAAGTATGAGAGAATTTCATATTTTCAAATATTATTCCATTAAATATATGTAAATACATCACGGATTTTACGTTTATAACGAGTCAAAGAGATGAGGGTTTTTTTTTTTTTTTTTTTTTTTTTTTTTTTGTATATATATATATTTCATGTATATAATTCCGCCCTTTTGTGGGATGGTAAACAAAATTCAGCAGCGCGCAGTCATACAACAGTCATTACATTATATCTTTATGGTGCGGAAAAGAACGGATTTGTTTAAAAATAGAAACATCGAAACATCAGTGTAAGCCAAGAAGTCAACATGTTATTTCACAATGACCATGCGTATAGTAAACATTCGAAGTGAATATTATTGAGGCCGACTAGTGTCATTACACAAACTTCACAAAATGAGGAAAATCTTTAACAAAATACAACCATTTGTGAATTCGTTGTCTACGTTTAGGTACAGACCATCTGTACAGTCTGTTAATCATACAATAACCGTCCTTTGTTTGCTCATTTAATTTTAAATAGTCTTTTTTGGTTGTTTTGTTGCTTTTTTGTTTTCTGATTATTCTTTGCTTTGCCTCGCCAGAGCAGAGAAACTTATTCATTTAATAAAGTAGAAAACACAGATAAGTTATAGTTATCGAACAAACAAATCGGTATATGACATTTAATCTGCACGACTCGGGTGACCCTACTTGACCAGAACGACGTAGGAGTTCGGGTTAAAAGGTCATCCTGACCGTGCAGATTAAATGACATATTACGATATGATTGGCCAATAACTGTTTTAACACATGACGCCATCAATGTACATGAAAGTTTTGGAAATATGTGGACGATATTCAATCCTCGTCTTCTGTGAAAGTTCAATTGTAGCGTAAAGAAATGGGGGGAAATACGCCTTTAAGAAGGTTGATAACTTTTAGATTTTAAACTCTTTTGATATTTAGGCTTTCTCCTAAATTGTTACATTATTTGGAGAATTGAGTTTTAATGGCATATCTTTGATTGATTCTGTTAAATTTATTCAAAATTTGTTCCCTCAAGAATGTGCTCAGAGGAAGATTAATCGAAGAGAGATGTGCCTAAATTTATAGTGCAAAGAAAACAAAAAAAAAAAAAAGGTTTCAAATTTTGCGAAGAAGGTTTATATACTCCTTTGTTCGTAATATATTTTTTTTTTAACACAAAACCGGCAACTTCTTTTAATGGGCTTACGCCTCACTTTGAAAAATCCTGGATCCGCCCATAAAGTTAAAAGTACATTTGAACTGTGAAGTATATCTGAGGTAGCTAATGCACAACTTAGCTGTGCATTATCAAGATTAAAGCACAGTTAGAACAAAGAGTTTTTGCCTATGTCATGTGTTCATTGTAATTGTATACACATGCCATTTACGTCTGTTGTCATGGTTATCCCTGAAATCCTGTTAACCAGTAAGCGATCGCTTAAACACTGCATAATCTTTGGTCACGTGATTTTTCAGCTATTGTGAGTAAAATGACATTTGTATTTGATATGCATAGAAAATGAAAGGATATGGAGTAAATGTACATGGGACAAAATTGCACACAATACATAGAAAACAGAAAATTATCAATGAACAGGGCTTTTATTCCTGTTCTTCATCTTGACAGTTGATGTAGGGTCTTCAACAATGAACGAATCATTCTTACCCTACAACAAGGTCAAGACGGCCCCTAGCGTCGACTTTAAGCGGTACTATTGATAAAAAATAAACCACAGTTCACCTTCTTGCTCCCCACCCGCCGCGGAGTGCCAACTTGTGCGATGCTTGTGTACGACGGTTCTCCAGTCGAAAGCACCAGGGATACAAGAAAAGTGCAGTAATTTTTAAAGACATCAATCGCCGCTAAGATATGCCTTGAAGTAACACATGTCAGGAGCGGTCAATGAATTACATAATTTATAATTACGGGCGAGGTTTTTCAACATATATTTGTCATACATTGCCCAACAAAAGACCAATAATTTCGAAAGAACAAATGATAGACAATACATATAAAACTAAAAAAAAACAAATGATAGACAGCACGGGGCACATCAAAATATATGTAAGAAAACCTAGCATAACCGTATTTGAGGTATGGAATGATGTGAAGTTTTAGTGGTAAGATGTGATGAGTAATAGGGCAATTATATTCCATGTATATATAAAACAGGTAAAATGATAATAGATTGATTGTTTGATTGATTGGTGTTTAACGCCACTTTCAACACTATTGTGCTATTTCGTGGCGGTCAGTTTTTATTGGTGGAGGAAGCCGGAGTGCCCGGAGAGAACCACCAAACTTCGGTAGGAAAACTGACAATTAAGATTGGAGTCGAGTGCACCTTCCACGTGCGGGATTTGAACTCACAACCTCAGTGTTGACTGGCTAGTGATACAGCAGTTCGACTACTAAGACCACTCGGCCACCGGATAGATAATGGAATGTACATGCTATCTAACAGGGCTTATCTCCCCTCGACCTAATGCATTTTCATATTTTTTGCTTAGATCAACGCTAAAGTTTTGTCGGTATGTTCGATAACCCGGGTAAGGTAATTTTTTCCCCTAATTGAAATACAATTTATAATTTACTTAAATGATAGTTATCGTATGTTGTTTCCAATTGGGATTTTACAACTTTTTAATTTTCCATCTTCGATAGGTTTAAGGCAGAAACTACTATCCTTTCCTCCCTTATTAGACTAAAATACAAAAAAATAGTCATTGACATATATTTTAACTTTCGAAACAAATAATGTGATCTTTTTTTTAATTTATTGCTACAATAAAGGGACATAATGTGAGATGAATTTAAGAACACAAAACTGTTCATAACACTTTTAAAACAAGCAAAATTTTCACTGTATTGGAAATCATATATTGACCTATGGATGTTCGTTTTTCGTGTTACGTGTACATCTGATTTCGTGCCGTCTTCGTGCCGGTTCTTAACTTTTTGCATTTATGTATACCAAATACTCTTATTTTCTATAGAATAACAGCCACGTACTTTATAATGAGGGGCGAAGTATAATATTTAATCTTGATTCTCAATTAAAAAAAAATGTTTGCCAAACAAAAGAGACAAAGTAATTATTCGAATAGTTCGTTAATAATTGTTGAAAAAAAAATCCTGCTTTTCCGCGATACAAATGTCATGGAAAAAAAAACGAAAAAAAAACATAGCATCCCCTTTTCATAAGTTAAATTGATACAATAAATTACTTACAAAGTGAGTTGTATATTTCATACACCATAACAATTCATTTGTATCTTTCTTCATGCAGTTACTGTATTGTTTTTTGTAACTGGGTAATGATTTCCTAAGTTTATATATAGATTAATTAGTGAGTTTAATTTCACATTAGATGAGCCGTATGGCGTATTCAAACCTGATCGCATTAGAAAAGAACATCCCACTTTAGTTTTATCGGTTAAATAGGATGCAAATCCTGCAAATCTTTGCAGAGAATAAGTCAGATAATGCATACTTTAAGGGTTTCCTTGTCGTATAACACACCTCGGGGTGTCAGGATTGCCAAGGAAAGACCGACCGTATCGGTCTTTCATTTGATCAATCCTGACTTAGTGTGTTATACGACGAGAAAAACCTTAAAATATGCAACATTTCACAGTGATATCATACTTTAACTTTGTTTTAACCTGTTTATTTACTTTTGACTTTAATTATTTATCCCTTGTAATTTTTTATTAACTGTGTATTTGCATTCAGGTGTCACAGGTCAAATTTATTCGTTCATTGTGTGTCAATTTACGTTTTTGTCGAGCCTTCGACTTTAGTCGAAAAAGTGAGACATAGCGATCCTACATTCCGTCGTCGTCGTCGTCGTCGGCGGCGTCCATGCACAGATATTCACTCTGTGGTTAAAGTTTTTGAAATTTTAATAACTTTCTTAAACTATCCTGGATTTCTACCAAACTTGGACAGAAGCTTGTTTATGATCATAAAATAGTATCCAGAAGTAAATTTTGTAAAAATAAAATTCCATTTTTTCCGTATTTTACTTATAAATGGACTTAGTTTTTCTGCCGGGAAATATTACATTCACTTTGTGGTTAAAGTTTTTAAAATTTTAATAACTTTCTTAAACTATCCTGGGTTTGTACCAAACTTGGACAGAAGCTTGTTTATGATCATAAGATAGTATCCAGAAGTAAATTTTGTAAAAATAAAAATCGATTTTTTCCTTATTTTACTTTTAAATGGACTTAGATTTTCTGCCACGAAACAACACATTCACTCTGCGGTTAATAACTTTCTTATACTATTTTGGATTTGTACCAAAATTGGACAGAAGCTTGTTTATGATCAAAAGCTAGTATCTAGAAAGAAATTTTGTAAAAAAATAAATCCATTTTTTCCGTATTTTACTTTTAAATGGACTTAGATTTTCTGCCACGAAATAACACATTCACTCTGTGGTTAAAGTTTTTCAAATTTTAATAACTTTCTTAAACTTTTTTGGATTTGTACCAAACTTGGACAGTAGCTTGTTTATGATCAAATGCTAGTATCTAGAAGGAAATTTTGTTTTCTTCCAGTTAACATTACATTCATTTTGCAGTTAAAGTTTTTAAACATTTATTAGAATCATAAACTATCCTGGATTTTTACCAAACTTGGACAGAAGCTTCTTACAATCAAAAGATAATATCAAGAGGAATATTTTTATTGATTTACTTCCTCATTTTTGTTGAGCCTGTGATTAACAGAAAAAGTAGGCGAGACACTCGGTTCCGCGGAACCCTTACACATTTTTTGATTGAGTTAAGCCTTCAAATTGATATTTTATAGTGTGTTTTTCTATGTTGTGATGTTATACTATTGTTTCAGAAAAGGGAGAAGGTTTGGTACCATTAAAACTTTTAATCCCGCTGCAAATGTGTGCACCTGTCCTAAGTCAGGAATCTTATTACAGTAGTTGTCGTCTGTTTATGTAGTTCATACGTGTTTCTCGTTTCTCGTTTTTATATAGACTAGACCGTTGGTTTTTCCGTTTGAATGGTTTTACACTAGTATTTTTTTGGGGCCCTCTATAGCTTGCTGTTCGGTGTGAGCCAAATTGAATGCTCCGTGTTGAAGGCCGTACCTTGACCTATAATGGTTTACTTTTATAAATTGTAATTTGGATGGAGAGTTGTCTCATTGGCATCCATACCACATCTTCCTATATCTATTATCTATAACATAACTTACGGTTACTCAAATTGTCCGCCTATTTACAATATACTGTTTACTGCCTTGTCGATTCAATTTGTACCTTACCTAGCGTAACATGTGCAAGCTGATTGTCCAGTATTCACATGCTACCTGCTATTATTGCCTTAACTGATCTTAACAGTCTAAAATTGATAAATGCTCTTTGGGGTGGAAAAGGGGGGGGGGGAATAAACCCTGAAAATTGTATACAGTCGAATTAAAAAACATGTGTTCCAACTCCCACCAGCGAATCTGATAGTAGAGCAGTCATTCGTGTAACCAATCTTCGTCCTTTTTGGTATTTTAAAATGTAGTACACAAACAAAGAAAACTATCACTGCAATACATTTATTATATTATTTAATTCTGCAGTAGAATAATTCTGTAAAACTTGTCTCTTCTCTATGTTCACATCAACATCAAACTGTAGAAATAATTTTAAAAAAATTATTAAATATGAACACATTTAATGTTTTGTCTACAAAATGAATTCATCATTTTTTTTTAAATTCTGAATAATGTTGTTCTTTCATTTTAATGTGTACATGTCATCTCTTGTAGAGCATGAACTGCAAATCCTTTCGGAACACTTTGTTTCACAATTCACAATGAGTTTCGGAACACGTTGTTACACCATTCACAATCGGTTTCGGAACACGTTGTTTCACAATTCACAATGAGTTTCTAGTTTGGTTGATATTGCGATTCCTTAATTGCCTGTGTAGTATTTTGTGCACTTTGTTTTTACTGTACGACTTTGTTTTAAATGCATTTACGTTTTTCATTACTGATTAAGGTTTTACGAATTATATTGAAATGTCAAGGGTCATCAACATTAATTTGCCAATGTTCCATTGTTACAAGAAAAGCGTGTTTCTATTTCAAAATTTCACATTCAGTCAAGTTTCAGGGTTAGAAAATTATGCCTGACCGATGGTAATAATTTAGAAATGCCTTAGATTTAAAAAAAAAGATTCAATAGACCAAGCCGCTACTGTGTGATGCCTAGTCGCTTAATATAGATTATCAACGTATTGTATATAGAACTAATACGACGGATGTCACACGCATAGCAGGATCTGTTAACACGCTGGAGTACCTGAGATAATCCCCTTTTTTTGTGGGATTCGTATTGCTCAGTCATTAGTTTTCTATGCTGTGTTTTGTGTACTGTTGTTTGTCTTTTGATCGTTTTTAGTTTTTTTGCCATGGTGTTGTCAGTTCGTTTTCGACTTATGAGTTTCAATGTCCTTTTGGTATCTTTCGCCTCTCTTTTTAAGAGTTTTGAAATCTATATAATGTGGAAAATGTTATTAAGGACTGCGGATTTTAATATGGCATGGATACATTAACAACACACACACTTAATTATATACCTTTCATACAGATAGGTAAAGCTATAAATATAATTCCACAAAGCATAAGCAAAAACCATTATCAGATGCACAGTTGACACATAACCTTTCTCGTTTGTTCCCTACAATAGCTTTGCTGAATGGGATTTTGTTGTGTTTGTTTTTTGATTTTTTTGGTAAATATTATTAGCATGCGAGAATTTGCGAGAATGTTAGGAGTGGTGAATGCTGTTAAACACAACCGTGGTTATATACAGTAAGAGTTTACCTCTGTAGATAGAGTTTCTATATCCAGCTCCACACATTCGGAAAGATTCTCCTGGACAGGGCATATTGCATTCACTGTCTAGAACACGTGGGTAAGAAGGGTTAATAAGCGTATTCCCACAAAGACAAGCTGATTGGTCCTAACGAAAAACAAGACCAAAAAAAAGATCAGTAACATTTCATTGTGTACTGATTGACAACTAAGTCTTAGATACATAATTTTTTTATTAGTTGTTATTGGCTTTGAACTAGCTGTCAGTAACTGATAGTATTCTCAGATCTGTACTTAGTGTCGTTTTTGTATAAATACCCTGCCACGTCCGGTCTGTGTTTTATTTACTTGTTTTTCTGCTTTGTATCGATCTGACCATTTAAGCCCTTTTCAACTGGTTTTTATAATTTGTTCATATGTTGAACTGTTACACCACTGTCCAAGATTAGGAGAGGGTTTGGCACCCGCTAACATATTTAACCCCGTCACACTCTGTATGTGCCTGTCCAAAGTCTGGAGCCTGTATATCATATTTGTATTTCGTCCATTGTTTTTTTTACATAAATCAGGCTGTTAGTTTTTTCGTTTGAATTGTTTTACATTTGTCATTTCGGGACCTTTTATAGCGGACTATGCAGTACGGGTTTTGCTCATTGCTAAAGGCCGTACGGTGACCTATAATTGTTAACTTCTATGTCATTTGGTCTCTGGTAGAGGGCTGTCTCACTGGCAAATATATCACATCTTCTTAGTTTTATATATAGATATACATTTTATGTTACGATGTCGTCACTGCCTCTGTGGTCTCATTGTAGCATGTTCGCTTCAAGTGCGGGAGGTCATCGCTTCGAATCCCGGTAGGGTCAAACCAAAGACTGTAAACCATGTATTTGATGTTTCTCCGCTAAGCACTTGGAATTAAGGCGAAACAGCAAAGACTTATCGGCCCGGAGAAAGAATAATGTGTCCGGGTATGGTAACATGCCTTTCTTTGGACTGTGAACTAGCACGATACAAATCAGGCTAAGCGTATCGGTCTAGTACAAAGCAGGCTTAGTATTCATTACGCATTAACATGTTCTAGTGAATATGAATTTAATTTGCTGCTGAATGTGAAACATTCACCCATCATCATCATTACAATGTTTTCTCTGACTAATGGACTGCTGCCAATTGGATAACCAATATTGCCGGTAAAATCTTTTAAAAATCCGCATTTGATCTTTAAGCTGTTGTTTGAGATGTAATATCTTTCCTTCATCGTCCGTGTCATCGTTTAAACGTGTTGCTTTTATAGAAAAACGCTATTGGGCAATGGTGTGAATTATGATTAATACTTTCATTTACAGTTGGTTGAGAGATTTATGTATTTTTTTGTAAAAACAAGTTTTGCGCCGTTCTCGTTCTTAATTATTCTTCTAATTTTGAAGTGAAATATTAAAACGAAGCGGTACTAACTGGTTTCGATCGAATATAAACTAAAATAAAATTGTTTGTTTGTGAAGAGCTATATCGTTTATAAATACCATTTGTCATTACGGGGATTCCTATTTTAAGTTTTACATGTTTGATTTGTTCACATGGACGATTTAAGCAAGGCAAAACGACCAGTACAATATTGTAAAGACAAGTCCCCTCCAGCAAATATCTTAATCTGATAAATTAAGTGGCCTTATTTGATACAGCTTTCACGTGATTTCAAAAAGAAATGCAATCATTAACAAGTTGAGAAGTAAGTTACATTTCAAATCCGCTTCCCTGCTTCATGAATTTATCGTAATGGGCTTTTCATAGCCACATGCATGCTTATCATTATCTGCGATAAATATCACAAAAAAAACCCAAAAATTACTCTTTAAGTCATGAACATTTCGGTATAAGTTACGATAAATTTTTATCGTATTACTTAGATATTTTGTAAAAAGAGCCCCAGTATCTTAACATTAAGTGATCTCCATATACATTCAGTATGAAAATCCATGAAAATTCCCGAACATTCCCAATGAACATGGAAGCATGACTATTCTAGAAAATTAATTATGTATTTCTAATATTCATACATATAGTAGTGTCCGTTTATTCTGCCCCTCCGGTAAACCCGCCCACTCCCATTTACTTTCGTAATTGTCACTTCCGTGAATATTTCGTCTGCTATTTTATTCATACATAAAGGAACTGTACTTATCATCACATTTCAAATGTTAAAGAAAAATCCTTTATTACGAAAATATCTAGTGATATATATAATACAGTTCCTATAGCTAACGATAATCTATAATGGCTTACAAAACTCGTTTCTGCCTTGAATCTTTTTTTTTTTTCGATTGTCTGGAATCCCTTTATCAGTGGTATATTAATAGATCACCTTTTCCTTTCATAAATATGTGATCAACTGGCCCTCCATACATTTTTACTGCCCATGGGCGGATTTACCGGACAGACACATTTCCGATAAAAACACAGATGACCCACTTGTATTGCTGATTTTAAAATTTATTTCAGATATGTTTTGGGAAATGAGATAAACTATTCAAAATTGATTTGTCAGTGAATCGATTTATGTTAAATTTGATACAATTTGTATATAATTAAGCAGAAATACATACAAGCCTTATGTGGGCGGATTTACAGGACTGCATCGTATATTCATGTTGTCCTTTAACATTGATGAATATTATCGCCATGATATGGCCTTTTTTGTGCTGAGGATACGTAAAGCAAACACCAATCAAGCAATCAATAGATTAATATTCACGTTTCTCTAACTCTTCGTCAACTTATCCCTTTCTGCACCCATTGTATAAAAAAAATTTAATCAACGTGTGGTTCATTTGATCTCAGTTATTCATTGGTTAAAATCCGATTATGACGTCGAATTTTCTTGCTTTCCTCTGAATTTCCTATTGTGACGGCATGAAAAAAGGCGACCATGCCTGATGACGTCACATAAAAAGAAAACATCTTTTTGCAGATCATTCGAAAAGACGGAATAAATTTGCCTGCGTATTGTTTGAAAATCATTAGAGAAACAGATTCCACCACCAAATCTCGTGTAATACGATATTTATCCACTCTCGGCAGTTAAATTTAAAATATTTAAAACGCTCGAAGAGCCTCGCGTTTTAAATTTGAAAATTTAACTGTCTCGAGTGGATACATATCGTATCACACTCGATGCAGTGGTAGAATCTATATGTATTCAGGATGTCAATAAACACTGGTGAATATGCCAGCGGAATATTATTCAACAATTAAACCTTGATACTGTAAATAAAATGCAGTGGTATTAATAAACAGAACGCACGTTTATAACGTGAAATTAACAGGATATTATGAATATTATTCCCCATATGAGCAACATTTACAAGCACACAAAGTCATATCATAATTATACAATTTTTTCCCTCTCACCTGCAAACCAGTATACTTGAAACCATGGCAGTGTTGTTTGCACATCAACAGCGTTGTGTGACTTAAACGTGCGAGTCTATATTTCAAATGTCGGTTCCCGTCATCTTTGAAACAACCCATATACCCTAAAAGAGAAATTGTATACTGCAACCATTTTGTTTGTTTCATTCCATTACCCTGTGTAGGAAATACAGACAATAATTGAAAGCGCGAGGAAATTAACGCAATCTTTGAGATCTAACCAAGTACAGAAAATGAAATAAACATACAAATAAATTTTCTGTTTTCTAGTAGTTGGTGTACTTTAAATGAAAATATAATTAATGTAAAAGAGTCCTTCCTTGAGATCTAACAAAACATGTTTAAACCCGCCGCATTTTTGCGCCTGTCTCAAGTCAGGAGCCTCTGACCTTTGTTAGTCTTGTATGTTTTTTTTAAATTTAAGTTCATCTATATGTTTTGGAGTTTAGTGTGACGTCCATTTTCATTGAACTAGTACACATTTTTATTTAGGAGCCAGCTGAAGCCCTCATCCGGGTGCGGGATTTTCACGCTGTGTTGAAGACCCTTTGGTGGCCTTCGGCTGTTTTCTGCTCTTTGGTCTGGTTGTTGTCTCTTTGATATATTCCCCATTTCCATTCTCCCTAATGAATAATTGAATGCAAATAACTTCATATAGTTGTACAAATGTACGTACCATCTTTTATCCATGGATGCTGTTTATTCACGGTGTGTTTTAATTCTCGAATCTCTTTTTCCAGATCCGATATAGTTTTATCTTGGCCTTTATTTGCAGCTGTCTCCTTTCTTAGTGTTGCTTGTATCAGGTCAAATTGTTTTTGCATCCGAATTGAATCGTTCTCATATTTGGTCCTTACAAGTGTAATGTTAGTACGAATATCACTGATAAGTTTTTTGAAACCGTTGTTCACGTCATTCTTATTCTTATCTGGTAGATTTTCAGAATCCAAAATAGGATTCTTCTGTATTTCATGAACCGATTTCTGTATTTCGTCTATTCTTTTATCATCGTGGTGCAGTTTTTGAAGTATGTACCACAAAATTGCATCCTTCTTACTATATTTTTCTGATCCGAGGAATTTATCTCCATTCTCACAGCAACATAATGCAATCAGACAAAAAAGGGTGAGCTGAATCCACATTGTGTTTTGGAATAAAAACTAAGCTATCCACGTCAAACAACTATAGCGTGATGTGGTACAAAAAACATGTACACGAGTTTATTGGCAAATATGGATTTCTGCAAACGATACTTTTACATTTAATATCTATATGTAGTGCGAAATAAAATCAATTGAAAATATTTATTTAATGACACTCAACAACAAAAAAGATGTTGTAGATGCTGGGATTTTCCACACCGGTTCAAAAATAACATTCCCGAATTATTTTTTGGGGGATGAGTCTTTGGTTTTGTTGTGAGAAAATATCATCGACATATTGATAAGTCGTGAACATTTGGTAGAAAATATCGCATATTTATAGGTACATGTATCAAAGGTTTGAGATTGGTTAAGGTTTATTTCAATGAGCAGGGTACAGTAATTTCGGGTTTCAATATTATATGTATTAGATACAAAACAAAGGTAATATAGAAACCGGCCGGTAACAACTGTTAATGTACTGACTTCTATAGGTATGTTGGGGCAAAGTCGTACAAGGCTCTATTAACATCACACTCAATTAAATAAAATATTTTGATGAATCAATAATTTTGTTCACAAAAGAAGTAAATAAGTGACTAGTTTAATTTCTACTACCGTTGTCAAACTACTATAGGGAGACTTATGCCCTGGAGTTTTTAGTTTTTTTTAATCACATCTATGGTGTTTAGTACAAAAATATACCTAAATGCTAGAATGCTATTTAATACTAGGAATATTGTAAACTTATTCCAACAGACACCAAATGTTGTAAAGTTTGAAAGTTAACATGAGACAAGTGATGGAAAAATTAGACACAAACGCGGTGAGAGAAAACGAGTTACGTAAACTATGTGTTTAATCCTAATGCCGTTTTGAACACTGATTTAAAAAAAATGTTCATAGATAAATCCGATGAAACGTCCGCATATTGTCTGATTCCAAAATGTATTTCATAGAAAAATTTAAGTTTGTCAAACAAAATTAATTTTAGAAAAAAAAAAAAAAAACATAGAGATCAAAGTAATGGTATTCACTTGGTTTTATAAGACATGTTTTTCCATTGCCACTTTGTATGAGTGGTGTTTATTCATTTTTGTGTTATAAAAATAAAACAGAAGCAAAAACTAAAGAAAACAAGGAACTAAAATAACGGCCATTGTTGTAAAAGAGAAACATAAAGGGTCAGCCAAAAAGTTAGTTATAAAATAGAGAGCGCTACATGAATTCAAAAACAACATCTCGAAAATCATTAACCTAAATAATTCAGTCAGGCTGCTTCAAAGCAATTTAGTCCATTACACATTTAATCAGATATCATGACTACCAGATAATGAATATTATGATTCTGCCGCAATAGTGACATCTACTCGTCTTTTACGGAGAAATAACATGCGGTACACTCAAGTATATTTCCCAATGTTTACAATATTGGGTGTTCATTGTGCGAACTAAAAGAACGCCACATTCTTTTACCTTCAGAACTGTGGTGAAGTGGTTAGCGCATCGGACTACAAACCTAAAGGTTCCTGGTTCCATACCTGGTCTGGGGAGAAAATTTCAAGGACTGAATTTTCGATACTTCTTTGACACCATTTGTTAGTATCGTCTTGAGAAACGATGATAGTCCGTCTGAAGGGGACGCCAAATGGCTGACCCGTGTTAAGAGAGAGCAATTTCTCTTGCACGTAAAATAGTCGAGTGACATTTCTCAAAAAGACGCCTAGTTAACGACTTTAACGCACTCACCTAACATACGGCTATATTATATATCATTCGAAAGCTTATTACCTGTACTTTCTGTTTTGACCGGTCGTCAATAATTCGTACGGTGCAATTTTCGTTAAATCAAGGTCAAAGGTTTAAATTGAACATTCCTAAATTTTGCCAGAATTAAACAAAATGCCATTTTCTGGTACTTGTATGGATTTTTTTTCTGAAAATTATCTAAACCTTATAAAACAAATTACAATCGTTCCAAATCAAATGCAAACTTAAATGCTGATTGCACTATATTTACAGAAAATTGATTTTTTTAAAAACACTTCCAAAAATGATAAAACTGCAATAGAATCTAAATGTTTTCTGAAGTTTGAATATTTAAAATTGAGAATGGAAATGGGGAATATGCCAAAGAGACCAAAGAACAGACAACAGCCGAAGGCCACCAATGGGTCTTCAACGAAGCGAGAAAATCCCGCACCCGGAGCTGGTCCTCAGCTGGCCCCTAAATAAAATTGTGTACTAGTTCAGTGAAAATGGACGTCACACTAAACTCCAAAACATATAAATGAACTAAAATTAAAAAACATACAAGACTAACAAAGGCCAGAGGCTCCTGACTTGGGAAAGGCGCAAAAATGCGGCGGGGTTAAACATGTTTTGTGAGATCTCAACCCTCCCCCTATACCTCTAGCCAATGTAGAATAAAGAAACACATAGCAATACGCACAGTAAAACTCAGTTTGAAAGAAATCCGAGTCCGATGTCAAAATAGGAAACAAAAGAAACTAAGCAAAATGACAATGATACATAAATGAACAAAGGACTACTAGCAGTTACTGACATGCCAGTTCCAGACCTCAATTAAATTGAGTGAAAGATGTCAAAAATAGAATAGATTAATCGGTTATGGGCCGAGGGAATTTTTTCTTTATTTTAAACTGCAACTAATATGATATAGGTCAAGATGAAGCTTTTGCAGTTGCCCTAAAATAAAACACCATCTGCATATGTGGATCATTTCGCTTTTATTGGCTAGATAATATTGCCAATATCGGCAGATAATGATCAATCATATTTAAAACAAGGGTATCGGAAGAACTTTAAGGAACGAAAAAAGGTATATTTGGTAAAAATTAGTTTTCCGATGTGGAAAGACATGTTACGAAGTTTATTCTCGTTCAATGTTCGAATGAAAATTGTTTGTACCATGCGCTTTTCAATATCAAATCCGTCGAATTCCTTTTAATATTCGACCATTATTATATTCTTTATTAGTTGTTTTATCAAATATGACTGAAAATTAATAATTCAGATTAATTAAGATTGAATGCCCTTCCTTAGCAACTGTAATCACCATACTGGTTAACGAAGTGTTCGCACATTTCGGTATAGTGTTTTAAGAAGTTTTGTTTGTCTGTCCTACTTTTTCGCCTTGGTGATGCTGTCATCTGTTTTTCTTCGACTATGGTTTGAGACTGCCTCCTTGTTATTCTATTCCTACTTTCAACTAAAGAAAAGATAACGATAAGGTTCAAAGCTGATCGAAAAAAAAGACAACAGAACTTAAAACTCAGATATTGATGGAAAATATAAAAAAAAGTAAAACAACAAAAATTAGCGAACTCCAAGTGAAAATTCCAAACGGAAACTCTCTTATCAAATGACAAAACCAAAAGCTAAAACACATTAAACGATTGGAAAACAGTTGTCATAAACCTCGTTGTTCTCTCTTCCCCTCTCTCTCTCTATCTGTAAATGATATCTCAAATATCCATCTGTTAGTTTAAAAAAATTATAATGAGCAATATTCCTCCGACATTGCTTGGTAGAATTAAGGAAGTCTAAAGTTCATATATGGAGGTTAAACGTGAAGAGATTTGTTTCATAATAGACATATTAAAATAGAGTTAAAAATGGAAATCTCTTAAAACTTACCATAGCATACCTGCTTTCAAGCTATCACATTAAGTTAACCCCAATCTTATTAAAATGTAGATATCTGATTTTGTTATTCTCATACGATAAATGAGCAGGCGAGACTTGATAGATCTGAATATTAGTCAGATTGTTTTAACCAATTTTTTTAACACTTATGCATATTAAACATTTTGTACGGATTTTTTTCATGAACTTATATATCAGTTATTTTTGTTGTGAGATCTTCGCATTAGAAGCCTCAACGGGAAAAATATGAAAAATAAAGTAAGAAAATCACCAAAGGTCGCTGTCAGATCAACAACAGAGGGCTCAGTGTACATTAAATATCCACAAACATAATTTAAGATTAGATGACATAAAACCAATTAAAAAACAGGATATATAAAGGCAACAGTAGTATACCGCTGTTCAAAAGTCATAAATCGATTGAGAGAATACAAATCCGGCTTACAAACTAAAACCGAGGGAAACACATCAACTATAAGAGGAAAACAACGATACAACAGAAACACTGAAGTGCAACAAAAAACAAACGACATTGCAACAAACATAGAAACGAACTGTTAGATAACAACTGCCACTGGTTAATTCAACCACAATTTTCATTAGTCAGTATTGTATAGATATTTTAGAATAAAATAACTTCATTTTAACCATATGTATTCTTAATGTACATGTACTATCTTTCGGTTAATATGCCAATGTCCAACCAATGCTTTACAGGTGATCAACTAAAGTAGTGCTCGTTTTCTAAATGTCTTAAAATATTATGTGGCACATCTACATTGAAATTTTAATGCAAAATCATGGCCAATTAAATTTGAAATAAAAGTGGTTCAAATGCATTTACATTTCTGTTTCTATTAAGCAACTTTACTTGTAACATTTAGCTGAAGTAAACATCAATATCAAAACTGCTTTGTTTTGTAAGAGGTTGCCTACTTTTACAAAGGGTAATTGATGCTGATTGGTAGATTATTGTTGTGACACATACACAGTAATTTCGTCCTTGATACTAATAGCTATAACTAATGTATTGTTGATGGGGATTGCCAGATTTCCTGCCGAAGACCGGTGGTTCCTTCGGCACTCCGTGGGCCTAAACCAATAAAAACTGATCGCCGCTAAATACTGAAGTCGTCAATAGTGCTGAACCGAAAATTGCGTCAAACACCAACATTTCATCAATCATCTGTATATTACAACGTATGTATATGTAAACTATTCGGGAAGTGTATGTATTGTAATGGCGAATTGCTAGAATTTCCATCTAAAAAATTAATGTAAGTAAATATAATTGCGAAAGTCTCAATTTATTTACAAGAATAACGTAGTTTGATAGGATTAAATACCTTGACCATGCATATAGAACATCTCAGTGGCTAGCTTATAATA